TAAATCCAGTTGGATCGAACCACGTAAACGATCTGTGTTTGCTTGTGTTCTTTGCGTTTCATTTCTATGCCAGGAAGTACATATCTCACAACAAGATTTGTTGTTATTAATGCAAAACAAAGAAAAAGACCTCTTTAGAAGGTTTATTGAGAAAAACTAATTTCAAAACTCTCTTCTCCAGAGAAACACCAGCATCCATATCTAGTGAGAATGGCCAATAAGGATTTCCTATGGTTAACATATTACAATAAAACTAAGCATACAAAAGAAAGAAGCTCAAAGCTTCATGGCAAACCACCCAACAAAAACTAAATAATATGAGGACAAACAAGAAGACAAAGACAGTTATATGTAACAAATGTTAAAGAGATAAAACCAAAAAATAAATTCTTATTTGAGTTCCGCCAAAACAAAATGTTTAAGTTAAAAAAAATACTGAAATCACTCGAAAAGGCTCTTATGGCAACTATTAGCTTTCTAGCATTTTAAAGTTTGCCTTCTCTTCTCAAAATTTTGAAGTCAAGGATGCTCAATTTCAGCTCCTGGATTATTGATTTAGGAGCTATATATCATATGATTAACTATTTAAATAAACTTATTTCATATACTCCTAATCTGAGTAACAAGAAAATAACTGTAATTGTTGTTATTGAATCCTTGGCGATCGTTGTTGGCCAATGAGATAATCTTATGACAAATACCTCACACTTCAAAATGCTCTCCACCTACCTAAATTATCCAACTTCTATACATCCAAGTATTAACTATATATTCAAAATGCAATGCTATATTTTACCCATCACAATATTTATCTTTCCTTTCTAAAATCTTCAAATCCAGCAAAAAAAATATGGCTCCAACAATTATGTCTTATAAATCCTTAATTTATTATTCGCAAGAGTATGTTGCCTTTACTATTAAAAAATATTAATAATAAAAAAAATTATTCAGGCGTTTGAAAATTAATAAAACACAAGCTTACAAATTTGTTAACAAGTAATACAAAAACCCAAATCCTTTTTCTCTCATTCACTATGATACATGGTACCATCCCCTACACCTAACATCTCTAAGCACAATAGTTTGTCCTTCATCGATGATGGCACCTGTGAAATGTTTGTTCCTATTACAAGCCTAAAGTGATATAAATAGTATCTTTCTCACGTTTTTAACATGTTCAAAATTGTCGGCGCTTAAAAGGGGACAAATTTTATCTCATCATACTCTTAACAATAGAGATGATACATTAGTAATATTGAGTATACAAATCCCAACAAAATGTAGTTCACAAAAGAACCAACACTCTCTATCACAAAAGCTCTCATTTTTCAAAAAGAATGTTTCAAAATAATATTAATAGGAAGATATTTTACTAGTAGCTTACATTATAAACCGGTTATCTACAAGGTCATTAGGTTCAAAAGTCTTACAATAAGTCTTAACCAAAGAATGACAAGTCTTGCCACAAGAAATACAGCCAAAGTATTGCTCAGCGACTCCTCAGTACACATTAGGATCACAGAGCTAGAAGGCATGTGGTAACAATTTCAACTGTTACACCAAAAATGCTAATAGCATATAAACTTGCATGTTAAAGACATAAACACAAACAAAATAACCACAAAGCAAATACCATAGCATTCATCACAAAAAAACCATTTAAAAACTGCACCGTTAAAAATTGATACATACCTCTTCATCACACCAAGGAGCAAGGATCATCTTTTTGTCATTGAGGGCATCAATGAATTCATCCCAGGTTTGCACAAGTTTAATGCTGGCATCTCGTTTTTGTTTGGCAGTATTAAAAAGGTTTTCTTGAATGCTTATTAACAGTTCTTTTATCTTTTCAACCAAATTGGCCACGGGTATATCCACTTTCACGCCATTGTCACGACGAACAACACGTACCTACAAAAATTAGCTTAATCATAAGAATAAGAGTTAAAATAAAAGTACCATCATTCTCGATACAGAAGAAAGTGTGTAAGCAGAATATGTGAATTTCTATTAAAGCATGTTACTGAAGTATCTGCAATTTCATGAACGGCCAGTGGCGCGTTGAGACAATGATGCATTGCCTCCATCCTGGTATAATTCTTAATCATATAATTCTTGTAAATAAAAAAGCCCTTTTTTCTCTGGAATCAATTATTTGTTTTAGTCCTCGGCCAACAAAGTTAGCTGCTTAAACGTATACTAATACATTTGCCACGAATAATTGGACATATCTATAACTATGCACAATTAAACAGGTACGACATTTAGCAAATAGATCCATAAATCACAATATCTGAAACATGAAAGTTAAAATGACATCTTAAGTATTGAGGCTCTAGATTTTGTTTAGCTTCATTGACTCAAAAACATTTTCCCAGTAAGCTCTGGCTTTTCTCACTTGTGTTTGTCTCGATACAAGTCCTACAAAGCACAATCAAACATGACAATAGAGGACAATGGATGCAGCATCGTGTATGACAAATTCAATAAGCATCAATCACAGTTGAAATTACTCAAATAAATAATGTTTTAGTGAAAGGACGACATTTATGAGTTGATCACCGATTTGTTGTGTGATAACGGATGAGGGATGTGACATTGCATAAAATCTGTACAAATTGCCTCGATCACAGTCAAAATCACTTAAGAGTTGCCCACTTGCAAACAGATTATGGGGTAGGTTGGGATAATTTTTTTGATTTTTTTTTTTTCTTGTGGTTGATGGGACACTTGTTACTGGATAGAATGACACTAGTGGGTCGAGATTTGCGGGATTTGAAAAACAAGGATGGATATGAAGGATTTGATGGATCTTTTTATTTGAATCTAAATTTAAATTTATTATTATTTATTATTTGGATTCCAAACGAATAAAATAGAAGATAAAATAAATATGTGAGTTGACTCCAATGATTTATCATTTCTCATGTGCATGGAAATGTGTGCCCCTTGCATGTTGATAATTTTGCTGTTTGCTCTAGTGTGATTAATAAGACACTATGGGTGTCATTTTGGGTATTTTTGATATTATGAACGCATCGACTCAGCCCATTTCGTGAACATATAATGCTTCAGGAATATTGACTTGGTCGAGGTATTTCGAACCTGATTTATGCGCAGCTGACTTCGTTACCCCCGTATTTCTTCATGATTGATTGAACGGATGTTTCTTGATAATTTGGGGACTTCAGATGCAACAACATATTGGAAGAGAAACTATCACCAAAATGTCCTACATCTTGATACAAGTTGTTTCTTCGCTTAGCTCTCAATAAAGTATAAAAAAATTTTAAATAATTAAGAAAAATAAAGAAAATGTGCAAGAGATTTCCACTGCACAAAGCTAATAGAAAAATAGATCCATCCTCCAATAAATTTAAAATTAATCTGAACTAATACAAAATAAATATCATATCAAATATTCTAATAAAATTACCCTAAAAAATCTCAGATTATTATGGACAGAGACCATGATCTTTGACTGTTTGAATTTGCTCCAAAATAGCACCCCAAAAAAAAAAAAAAATTAAAGGCCCTCTAATCAAGTAGTTTGCCCCTAAATAACACAATTATATTACAATTATTGTCAAAGCCTAGATGTTCTCAATTAGCTTAGCTTTGAATTACTGGGTGCGCTTGACAAAGTAAAAGGTTCTCTATTAGCTAAAGTCTCTTCATAAGCATGTAACCAAGATTATAAAGTCCCCTTGGATAATGCTAACCTTATCTGCTAAATTTTTTTTTTGTTAGGCCGTCGTTTATCTCCTTTGACAAGTAATAAATGTATACAAAAAATGGGAATTACGGAACTATGGGATCATAATTAAGTTTATTATAATTCTCCATCATCTGCTCTAAACTAAAAATGATAAATTTTATAATCTAAAATCAAATAATTGCTACTATACACTAAATATTTAGCACCTAATAACTAGATTTAATTGAAAGTTCTTTCTCGTGATTGGGATGGGTAAGTAACTATAGATAGAGGCTTACACTTATGAGAAACTTGAAACTAAATCTTAAATTTATCATAACAATGGCAAAGTCTCTATATGCAGTCTAACCCAAAAATACAAATAAAAATCTCGAAAAAAAAATGGGTGTAAATTTTCAGAGCCTATAAGTAGAAATTCTGAAACAAGCTCAATGGAATGCTCAAAATTATATAACACATTTTGAAAAATGGACAAGTCTAACCCAAAAATACAAATAAAGATCTCGAAAAAAAATGGCTATAAATTTTCAGAGCCTATAAGTAGAAATTCTGAAACAAGCTCAATGGAATGCTCGAAATTATATAACACATTTTGAAAAATGGAGAATTTAATAAATTTCTTATTTTACTGGATCTAGTCGGAAATAAATATCAGTTAAAACTCTAAAACGCTTTCAAACCCCCATCAAAATTGATGATTTCCTTTTCATTAAAAAATCATAATTTTCTAAAATGTGTTAATGCGGGATGCAATTGTCAAGAACGTGAGAAGTGATAAACACGAAAGCTGAACGCGTTCATCTCGAAAGCGAGACACAATCGTCATGGAAGAGGATGCCAGTGGTTCAGTTTCTGCAATAGCGCGGTTCTACGAATCCACATGCCACAAATCTCGAGATTGCAAGATTAATTGGCCTGTGTCGTGAAATCTTTTTTTTTTTTCCTATTTTCAGCACGTTTCCTCCTTTTGTTTCTTTCCTCTATGGTCCTTTCCTATTATTTTTATTTTTCAATTAGGTATTTTCTATTAGAAGAATTTTATATAATTTGTATTAAGATTTTGGATTTTCGGTTTTGTTGATTTTATGAATTTGGGACTTTCTCTATGCTTGCTCTTCAAAGTGTTATATCATATTCTTCTTGCAAGTAGTATATTTGCATGTCGCTTAGGAACAAGTGGTGGAACCTCCTCGCCTCCCGAATGTCGCTAATTCGGAGTTTTCTTTGATTTTTGTGTTCCAGGCAGGCACCGATGATGCCAAACTTGCTGTCCAACAGCAGCTTTATCCCCGTAGTCCCTTCCAAATGTCATTGAAGTCGCATATTACCTTTGCCTTGCCTTTCCACAATCACCTCCCCACTAAACCCCACAACAAAATACATTTTATGAGCCCTAGAATAGTATCTTGTGTTCTATCAACAAGCAAATAAATTAAGTTATTGATAAAGCCTCCTAAAAATCCATAATATTATAACAAACAGCATCAGGATTGATTTGCAAATCAAGAAAACAAAATCTTAATTTGATCCAAGTCCAAAATATTCAATCAAGTTAATAAGCTCTTCTGAAATGATCTGAACACATGCATACATGGTTTTGCAACAATATAAGAAGAACCATCAACATCGTAATCTGTATTTTAGTTATTTATTCGAGTCAAAGATGATGAAAAACAATCATCCTTTTGTCTAAAAAATCTGGATGCATTCAGCAAATCTGCTTGATACTTGAGGCAATCAAACACTAGAGAAAAACTAAAAGCATATGACAGTCAACAAATCTAACTAATAAACATTTGAATTGATGTAAAATAAAAAAAAACAAACTCATAGAAAGACAGCACACACGGGATAGAATGTCTTAACAAGCTTCAAAAACCTTATTAAAGCTAATCATAGATGGGATGACAAAACGATATAACCGATGGAAAACTGCATAGTTTATTGCCAAAAAAAAATTTATATACAAGTTCTAATTGAATGCCTTAAAGATGCCTCTAAAGAACTATCAAATATCATCAGCATCAGCAGTAGCCATAGCCCAACTATATTTTTAAGTATTTTTAAATCATTCAAGAGGTGCCCTTTAACTCTCCAACTATCCCATTTGATGAAGGGAAATTAAAATATCCAAGCAATTAAGGCCATGAATGATATTCTTGCTTCCACGAAAAGAAAAAATTAGAAAAAAAAGCAAACAGATCCAGCAACAAGGTTATTTAGTATAGTAAAGCATGAGTGAAGGTATCCACCAATGACAATTTAACAAGACAGTTTACTCTTTTACCTGGTTGTTTGTTAAATCCTTTGGACCAATTTCAATTCTAAGGGGAACTCCTTTCATTTCCCAATGAGAATACTTCCAACCAGGTGAATAATTTTCCCTCAAGTCATGCTTAGCCTTGAATCCTGCTGCTTGCAACGTTTGCGCAACGTTTTTACAGCTGATGAGCAGGCTGCAAATATGGCCTTTGTATCTGCATCCTTGTAAGGTACAGGGACTACAATAACTTGAACCGCTGCAACCTTAGGTGGTAGCTGCAAGCCTTTATCATCTCCATGAACCATGACCATAACTCCAATCTGAAAATATGCAGTTTATAAAATGTCAGTTCATGTATCGATTCAAGACTATTAAAGTCACAAACATAGAGAGAGAGGGAGAGAGACATTGTATGACAAGTGAAGAAACATTTGAATGGCATGGAATCAATTACATATATTCATGATGATATTTTGCATGTATTTGATTGGTGACAGATAAACCTATAGCTTTAAAAGCACTTTTATATGTCGTCCAATTAATCTTATAATTTTCATGCACTCAATAAATGTAAAATAAATATTGCATAATTGCAAGAATCTAAATGGAAAGGAAAAAAAACAATTCAAAGCCAGTTTATAAGCTACTGAATGTCAACAAAAATAAGGACTCGCACTTTGCCTTTTTTCAAAAAAAAAAAAAGCTAATGAATTTTAAAGAAGGTTAATAGCATCAATGGGATAAGGACAATAGTGAGTAGATAGCTGGAAAATAAAATTGTGGAGTTGAATTAATTAATGGTTAAGTTATTATTATTGAAAATATCATACTAAGCTTAATTACAACCCTCAAGTAAAACATTAAAAAAAAATGAAAATTGAAATTTTGGGAAGAGATGGAGAGACTATTACAAATAATACCTAACTAAAAGAAAATAACTATGAGTAGTAAGTTAAATAAACATTTAAGTTTGGAATGAATAGATACAAAATTATTTATATTTTGTATGGAATTAAAGATAAAAACATAATAAAAGTGGCTATACTTTATTTTTAGGCTAGAATGTAACAGAGAAGAGCATGTAGTTACCATTAAAAGTAGAGTAACCAAATCACAAAAAAAATTTTTTTTTCTTTCCCATTGATGGAAAAAAAAAATTGAAAATTTGTAAAATAATTGCATGAGATCAGAGCACAAGAAATATTAAATATGAATCTAAATCTTCAAGAATAAAAAAATTACTCAAGAAAATCATAAAATAATTTTTATAATTCTTTTAAGATTTTTCTTTGTTTTCTTTCTATTTCCTCTTTATTTTTTTGCATTTTTCTTTACTTTTCATCTTCTTTATTCAAAGATATCATGTGAGACCAAGAGCATTCCTCGATCTCACAATTTGCAGTACATAGCATGAGGAGCAACGAGAGGTTTGGATTGTCAAGCGGAACAACATGATTTCTGGAATAACATGCACACTTTTGGTGTAACTTTATTTCAGCCTAATTTTCACAAAGTGTTTGAAAATCAATTTAAAGTCATTCAAGTACCAAGTTTTTGCTTTAGTTGGCAATTTCATTTTCATCAGAATGTGTGTTAGGCTTTACATTTAAACCATTTGGCATGCTCTTCATTACAATATACACAATTTTTGATAAACTGTGGTTCACTTTCTTGCTTGGTAGGTCATTTACGCATAAAGACATTACATTTTGGTAGATGATTATAATACCATTGTTTATTTATGTTTAATTCATGTTGTTGTGCTGGGAGATTTGCATAAGAGTCATGCACATCATTTTCATGCAATTTTAAATTTGTAATGCCCGAGGGAGTTCTTATTTACGTTCATTGGTGGGGTGCAAAAACATCAGCAAGTCCTTTTTGTCACTCTCTGAGGCAATTTGCTACATAATTACAAATAACTATTCATCGTGCTTTCACCGTTGTATTCATTATTTTGACTTTGTCGCATTATTTTGCCATTAAAAAGGCTTATTTGTGTGCCAGAAAAATCTGAATATAATGTGGTAGTGCTTCGGCATTACCCCCTGCAGAGAACCAAGAGTGGTCATCCTAGTGTGTGTCATTTGCGCCCACACATAAGCACAGAGAACCAAGAGTGGTCATCCTAGTGTGTGTCATTTGCGCCCACACATAAGCACAGAGAACCAAGAGTGGTCATCCTAGTGTGTGTCATTTGCGCCCACACATAAGCACAGAGAACCAAGAGTGGTCATCCTAGTGTGTGTCATTTGCGCCCACACATAAGCACAGAGAACCAAGAGTGGTCATCCTAGTGTGTGTCATTTGCGCCCACACATAAGCACAGAGAACCAAGAGTGGTCATCCTAGTGTGTGTCATTTGCGCCCACACATAAGCACATACACGTAAAGGAGTAGTGAAAGTAAGCAATATTGACCTGTCTTAAGAATTTTAAAACATACAAATAATTCTTTTGGAAAAGGATTAAATATTGAGGAAAACAATCATATGAAATTTAAAGCCTCTGCAAATGATGAGATGATTATTGTGAAAATATATCACCCAACAGTCAACCCATTACTTATGCTCATGCATGTGCCTATAGTAGCCTTCTGAAACCTACCAGCTAGCACCCTGCAGTCCTACGCCGACACTCACACAACGGGGCTCTTCTCTGCCCACTGTCACACTCCAACTAACCTCTTCGCTAGTTACACGTTGCAATCCATGAGCACTCACACACTAGCCAACCTTCTCTTCAGCCTTTGTCACAAAGGCTGCCGCCATCAAAAACTTCGAATAAAATTCTCTTCATCCGAGGAACACAAGCCCACAAATCTAATTAAGACAATTATAAAGACTTTCTACAAAACACATGTTGCAAAAAAGCTCAGCAATCAAAAGAAAGTTGAAAATTGTACAAAAAAAATGTCTCACAAAAAATTTGAAGATGAAAGAAGGAAAAGCAAATGCATAAATTATATATAACTCATGTGGAAGAAGTTAACACCAATGGATCACACATATAGTCGCACAAAGATAGAGAAAAGTTGAAAAACTTGTTGATAACACTAAAAAACTCCCATAGTAAATCCTTCTTATTCAATCCACTGAAAAAAAAAAAAAAAAACATTGAGCCTACAGACGAAGGACTATAAAGCACAAACAAGAGGACAGACATGACATGACAAAATACGGGAATACGACATAATTGAAAAATATAAGATATGACACGTCATAGACATGTTTTAATATTTAATTAATTATAAATATAAAAATATATATTTTCATTGTTCTTTATTAAAGCATCACAAAACAAATTATGTAAAAAAAATTTAACTTTATAAATTTAACTTGTATTATGGAATCTCATGCTTATAAAAATTAATTTTCAAAATTAGACACATACTATGTTTCAAGAAAGTCCTCCAACTTATCTATTTAATTTTAAAGTATCTTATGATTAGACCTTATTTAATTAATTAAGTTAAATTTAACTTTTAGAATTATTAAAAAATAGATTTATAGTTATTAACTTATTAAAGAGTTAAAAAATATAAATTATCAGCTATAATACAAGAGCGGCTTTAACTCCACTTGGATTCAACAAATAGAAGCTTCAATGCAACCGTCGCAAAGTTTGTAGGGTATTTGGATTGACTTCAATGAACATATTTGACCCCTGTTTAAGTTGCAACAAAAAAGCTCACTACTTCTTTAGCGGGTGTAGGTTCAACTTCGAAGAACAAAAGTAAACTACAACGCTCGGCTTTGATGACTGCATGATGGACCTTTGATGCTGAGCTTCAACAAACAAAGAGGGAACTATTGCTGTCCGACTTCAATGAATATTGGATGCAACTTCTATGCTCGATTTTGACGAATGTTTGAAGGAGTTTTGACATGAAAATGAAGACAGCTTCGATTATGAGGTATAATTTGAGCTATACGTACATGTATAATTTTCTATTTTTCTCATGTTTTTCCCCATATCATGTAGAGCTCATATTTGATGCGGTGTTGAAGCATATCTTAGACATGTTCAGGCCTACAAAAAATCCAAACATATATTGTATAGTGTCGAACAAATATCAGTGTCCGGAAGTATCAGACATAAGTACGCCACATTTTTAGAAGTGTCGGTGCTACATAGATAAATGTATAATAATTTCACTAATCATCCCTTACACTTAATCTGATCATATAAAAATCTTTCTCATAATCACCAATTCATCCTTCCAAGTCTTCATACTATTTTCATCTCTAAAATTACCTTCATAACTTTAAATAATATGAATTAAGAAGATGCTACTGGAGAAGATATTCAAGCTAAAAGATTTTCAAAACAAGTGAAATTATCAAAATTGAAAAAAAAAATTGTAAATTAGATTATTTTTTACTATAGAATAAAGATTTAAAGGTTCAATAGAAAGGTATAATAAAGACAAACTAATATTCAAATGATATGCTCAATTATAAGAGATTAATATTACCTTTTGCACAATTCGTACTCCCGCGCGCACAAACTTCGCATTCGGAGAGTCGACACGACTGATCGCCACAACTCGCATTGCTTGCACTGTTACCTGTCGAAGGCTCGAATAAACCTTTTGAAACGATCGATAGCGGGTCGAAATTTGGTGGAATTTGAATTTTGACGCGTTGTTTTGACTTGATTGTCAACGACGTTGTCCGAGCGACCCCGGATGACGAATCGGACTACACCGGCACGTCCGGAGCGTCGATTTTGCCCAGGGAGGACACCCATTTTGTTAAGACGCCGCGTGTGAATAAATCACATATAATTAAATATATATATATATATATATA